AACAAATAACCAAATGTATAAGGTTATTTTGTTTTAAATAAATAAATAAATAGCTGGGGGGGTATGTTGTTGTTGGGTTTTTTTTTAATACCCCCTTGTAGATCTGACAAGAATCTTATATCTAAAACATTGACAATAACAAAGAACCAAAAAACTCAATCATAAACAGGTAAAAGACTTGTCTAGACATTTCAGCAAAAAGGGCATTCAAAGGGCCAACTGGATGGAAAGATGCTCAGCATCATTAGCCATCAAAGATACACAAGTCAAACCACAATGAGATACGATTTCAATTCCACTAGAATGGCTAAGGTTAAAAAAAAAGATGTTGGTGAGGATATGGGGAAATTGGAAGACTTATGCACTGCAAGTGGCAATCTAAATGGTATAGCTGCTGTGGAAAACTGTAATGCAGTTCCTAAAAACACTAAAAATACAGCTACCAGATGACCCAGCAAATCCACTCTTAAGTACATGCCCAAGCGTATTCAAAGGAGAGGCTCAAAAAGAGATGTACACACCAATGTTTATTGCAGCACTATTCACAATAGACAAAAGGCAGAAGAAACTAAATACCCATCAACAGATCAGTGGCTAAACAAATGTGCTACGTCCACACCCTAGAATTCTCCGCAGATAGATGAGGTCCACATGCAAGGCACAGAAGCAAGGTGGAGCTAGCATCCATTAGGCCTGCAGACATTATACTGAGTAAATAAGCCAATCACAAAAGGACAAATATTGTAGTCCTCACATAAAAAAACAAGAACAGGCAAATGTATAGACACTAAAGTTTATGATTAGTTACCAGGGGTGGTGGGAGGGGAATAAGAGGTTTAACGGTGATTGAAAAATGACATTGATTAATTATTATATTTGATGTCAGTAAATTGCACACCTGTAAAAGGTTGCATTAGCAAAAGTTGTGTGGTATATATAAAAATAGCTGCCAAAGCAACTTCTCTATACCTCACGGGCTTTGATTCCTCGGTTTGGATGTTTAAGGTCAGGTTTCATGGGACATCCCAGTTAATTGGCTTAATGAAATATTTAGTGCTTCTGTTCTACCACCTGGTTCACTGCAGTGTCTGGGGTCTTAAAAGCTTGCAAGTAGCCATCACCAACTGGCCACTGTTTGGAACACCAAAGGAAGAGTCAAAAACAGAAGAATGTAGGATATTTTACTAATTGCCTTCAAGAACAACTACCTCCCTTGCCATTCGACCAGAACAGGATGGTACAGGGCTACCATTACTAAACATTTTGATCAAAGGTCCCACACAAGAATCCTAATCAGAAGTGGAGAAATGAAGACAAAATTTCAAGTTCTCATGTACTCTAGAATTGTTTGGCTCCATAGAGGGTCCAGAAACTATTGTCCGGATAGAACCTTTAAAACTTAAAACCAAAAATATCCCCTGGAGTTATCTTACAATCAAACAATAGCTAGCTTAACGGGTAAAATTTTTGTAAAAGGCTGCCGTATTATGCTCTTTTAACAACGATCTATAAAGGAATATACTGACAACAGCAACCTGAAAAGTTGGATAAGGACCATACAGGGCAGTGCGTTTAGTGGGATAAATCAGAAAAGGGGTATGAAGATGGTGATACAATTCCAAGAATGTAATAAATGTCACAATAAACTGAATGCAAACAAACTGTTGAATGGGTGTGTTTTTGCTGTTTATTCTCAACAACAAAGCACAGACAACTTAGGAATAAAATTAAAAGGACAACATGTATTAAGAGGGCAGAAGAAATCTTTAGATGAGAGTTAGAAAAAGGATATATCAGATTTTAAACTAAAGTTCTCATGTTCTGAGAACAGCTCTGCTTCATGAAAACTTATTTATTACAGTTGCTTTCTTTTTTCAATGAAAGTTTAATGACATATGACAGCAACGTTGGCAAGTGTAAGACAGAAAACAGTGGCCAACTGAAGTTTCTAATGCACCTGTGAGCAGTCTCCTCGTCATTCAGCTTCTGGAAGGATAACATGCAAGCCCATACATACACCACCATATGCAAACGAAGGGGAATCAAATTACAAGACGGACTTGGACGAATTAAAAAAATGATGCGACAAACAGTAACACATAACATTGATGGGGTCACTACAATTCTGACAAAGGTGCCCTGGTGGCACAGTGGGTAATGTTGGGCTGTGCTAACGGCAAGGTCAGCAGTTTGAAACCATATTATGGATTTACATTCTCAGAAACCCTCAGGGGCTGTTCTAGTGTGCCCTACAGGGTCACTAAGAGCCAGAACCAACTAGGAGCAGTAGGTTTGACTTTGAGTTTGTCTTCTGTCATACAGCCCTGAGGGGTTATGAGTTGGGATGCTGACTGCACGGTCCTCAGTTCAACTCTATCAGCTGCTCCAGGGGAGAAAGATGAACTTTCTTAAAGATTCACAGCCTTGGCTGAGTCAGAACCGACTCAATGGCAGTGAATTTGATTTTGATTTGCATCTTCTGTCATTTTCCTACTAGGTTGTGTAAGAAATGGTGTGTGGGGGTAACGTCTGACCACCTCTGACTTCACCAGGGGAAGGCGAATCAAACTCGAGTGTCAATCTAAGGCCAATCCCCAGGCAGAGGCCACACATGCATCTACCCTAACCTCATTTACCAATTCTGTCACCGACCATCACACTTGCACGGCACTCTCTTACTTCTCAGCTGGGTTCAATAATTCATTGCAATGACCACTCAGAACACACAGAACAAACTCACAATTATGGAGTTTATTAGGGAAGTCAACAGAATTTGAAATGCTCAGGACACAGAGCACCTCTTCTCAGCCATGGCCACAGGCCACTCTGGTCCTCAGCCTCTCAGCTCCGTGTTTGCCCCACTCAGACAACGTTACAAAGATCTTTTATGTGCTGCTGATAAATGTCCAAAAGGCACTCAACTCTGCCATAAGCCTCATCTCGAAAGCAGTCCACCATGGCTCTGTGGGTCAGCAAACCTAACTCCCCGATTAAGTGCCTGGAGGCAACCCACTCCACAAGTGAGCCTCATGCCCATAGGTATTCAGCTGGAAAGTCCACTGCTCTTGGTTCTGCTGCCACCATTTCTCCTCTGGTGTCTCCTGGTTCAAGGCAGTTCTTCACAAAGGGATCTCACGGTCCGGAGTGAGTTCCCCCTTCCTGCTTCTGATTCATTTTACACACACATCAGAATGGCAAACTAACCAATCCCCTCATTACATGTCTTATCTTGATCAACTAACTAGCTAAGCTTCCACTTCAAATGGTACCAGGTGGGAATTCCCATCAGTAAATTCCTCGTTAAGAGCAGACCTTCTGAAAACAAGTAGACGTTTCCAGAGGTCCACACAGCCTTAGTGCTGCATTAGAACTCGTGTATCAACCCCATCAAGATCTACTATATGCATCTAATTTCTTAGCACCCATATAAAAATCTCGGCCCTGCTGGGGTGAATTCTTTCTCCCTTCCCTTTCCCCATTCTCTTGTGAATTACTCCAGTGTTTTCTGTATCTGTGAAATCCACGCTGTGCCAGCACATCCGAGAGGGCTTCTTGGATTGTGCTTTGTTTGCAGACACCTTGCCCTCCGAGTCTGTTGGGGGGAGTTAGAAAGACCGTGGCTAGAAAAGCCGTATCCAGGAATTACCACAGAGGCTGTCTGCCTTTTTTTCATTGTTTTTGGTTATATTTTGTGGATGAGTTTTTTCATTGTTAATTAAGTGGGGGAATATCTCCTTGATTTTTGTCGTTATTCTGAATGTTATTCCCTTGTTGATATTAGTCACTGTAAATATTTAAATTTGTTCATTGATTTTTCAATTTCTTTACAGTGCTTTTGTTACACCAAATTTCTTCATTTTGATGTAATTGTATTTACTAGTCTTTTCTTTGATGACTAGACTTTATCTCAATAACTTTTTATGCCCCCAATAATAATCATTCATATTGATAATGCATAAAAGTCTTGCAATTAAAAAAATTATAAAAGCAACCGTGAAAACACTAAGTTTTGAGAGTGAGACTAAGAGTGAGCAGCTATGACTACCAATGAGGATAAGTAGTAAGCAGGACAGATGGAATCACTTATTAGCTTATACTGTTTTCCTCATTCCCTGGGTACTTCTCACATGGCCCACCCTTCACCACACCACTCTGTCGTCTCTGAAATCCCCGTTGTACTCAAACCCTAAGCTGGGTGTTGCGTAATTAGGCATTGATGTAAAGCTCTGGGCCATGGGCCAGTGTTTGTGTATTTTACTTCCAGGACTAGACTGTGAGTGTGGCGAAAGAGGTTTCAACCTTTGTGTCCTCCCTCAAATCCTAACAAAGGAAAACAGATACTCAACGAGGACCTTTGGAACAAAGTTCCCCAGCACACACAACCCTCTTCTCCTCACCCTGGCTCTGCCCCAGCCCCATCTCATTCCTACCCACCCACCATCTGTGGATTCTAGCTCACAGCAACCCGATCAGTCAGATAATAACTGTTCCTTAGGAGTGCTGAGGCGTCAAATCTTTATGGAAATGGAGAACTTCATCTTTCCCCCTTACAGAGGCTGGTAGTTTGAACCAACAACCTGTGGTTAGCAGCCCAGTGATTAACCCACTATGCCACCAGCCTTCTTCCTATTCCAACTTTGCACCCCCCCCCAAGAAAAACAACAACACTGTAACTCAGAGTGACCCTATAGGGCAGAGTAGAGCTGCTCCCTGGGTTTCCAAGGTTGTGAATCTCTACAGGGGCAGAAAGTCTCATCTTTCTCCTGCCAAACAGCTCGTGGGTTCAAACTGCTGCCCTTGCTGTTAGCAGCCCAAAGCATAAACTCACTGAACGGCCAGGGATCCTTCTCAATCCTACCAAGCCCTCACTGCCACCAAGCCAATTACAACTTACAGTGACCCCACAGGATAGAGTAGAGTTGCCTCTGTGAGTGTCTGAGGCTGTAACTCTTTGAGAGAGAAAGCCTCATCTTTCTCCCACTCCCAATCCTGCAACCTACGGAAATGTGGGACTATACTCCATCGTTGGCAGGTTGCTGATGGTTTGCTGTGTTTCCAGAACAGATGGTGTGCGTAGTCTCAGAAACTACCTAGTAGGAAAACAGAGCATCAAGTTACTAAAAGATACGGGGAAATTTTTTTACATAGAAAACAAATATGGATAAAGTATGAAAGGAAATGGAAAAAGGGCATCAATCCAAAGCTGGCAGCTTTGCAGTCAGTGTGTCTATGCCCTGATCAGTTAAAACGGGAAACTAGTAGGACCACTAGTACATGAGGTCTCTGGATAGATTATGTAGTGGAGATCCACTGGGGAAACCGAGGTCGAGCCTGTGGCACAGACTGAGAGTGTGGGGATTACGAGGTGCCATCATTACCATCATTTTTATTTTGTTCCACTGCCGAGAACTCTCCTTGTTCCTCCTTCAGAGATCTTTATTACCTATTCCAGGCACGCAGGGAAGGTAAGAACCCCCATCCTTTCCACTACAGGTCATTGATCTGCATTGGTTCTTGCATTTGTGGGTCAAAATTTAGCTGCCAGAAGATACCTAGGTATTTCAACTTCACTAGGATGGCCACTAGGCGCCCTGGTGGCATCCTGGTTTAACTGTTGAGCTGCTAATGGCAAGATCAGTGGTTCAAACTCACCAACCGCCCCAGAGAAGAAAGGTGAGGCTATCTGTTCTTATAAACATTTAGTCTCAGAAAACTCTCCAGAGCAGTTCTAGGTCTGCCCCACAGGATGGCTGAGTCGGAACTCATGGGGTAGATAGGATGGCTAGTATACAAACAAAAACAAGGAATTAAGTGCTTACCAGGACACAGTGAAACGAACTCTTGCCTCGTGCGTATGGGAATGTAAGATGGTGCAGATACTATGAAAGGTAGTTGAGTGGATTCTCTAAAAGTTCAACTTAGAATTTCCATTGATCCCAGCAATTCCATCGCTAGTGTACACTCCAAAGAATCGAGAGCAAAAGCAGCAGCAGATACCTGCCCTGCAGCATTCTTCTGTCATAAGACAGAAACACCCAAGTGTCCATCCAGTGATAAGCAGATAAACAAAACGTGACCTGTCCAAACAACTACGCCATGGAGAGATATGAAGTTCTGATATGCTACAACATGGGTAAACTTTGAAATCATCATTATACTAAGTGATATGAGCCAAACACAAGAAGACAAATATGGTATGATCTCATTTATGAGGTAGCTACTACCCCCCAAAAAAACCCAAAACCAAACCCATGACAGCTGACTCAACTCCAAATAGTGATCCCATAGACAGAGAACTGCCCCATAGAGTTTCCAAGTCTGCAAGTCCTTCAGAAGCAGAGTGGCTGGTTTGAACAACCAACTTTTACATCACCAGCGAAGTGGTTAACTGCTGTGCCACAGGGCTACTTATGAAGTATCTAGAACAGGCAAGCTTACAGATCCAGAAATCAGATTGATAGTTACTATGGTTGGGGAAAGGCAGGGAATGCTTCATGGGCACAGCGTTGCTGTGTAGGATGACAGAAAGTATTGGAAACAAATCATGGTGAGGTGGTGGCTCCATAACATTGTGAATATAATTTAAGCCATTAAGTTGAATTTATACTTAAAGTGGCTAAAACATCAAATAATGCATTATATATCATAGAGTACAGTTTTTTAAAAAAAACTCATGTTATCTAATGAGGTGATAATGTAAGGAAAAAACCCAAGGCTTCACACTGGTTCACAAACAATTCAGTCATGGCTGACAGAGTGGAACTTCCCCATGTGTGTCTACGACTGTGACCATTCACAGGAGTACACAGATCCCAATTTTAAAGATTTGAGTAGACCAGAATGATAACCAGATAGGGGGAGAGTTACCAAAGCCCTAGGATGTGACACTCGGAGGTGCACTGCATCCTCCCAGGTGTCTGACGCAGGAACTGTATTATCGGCAGGCTTGTGGAGAAGGACAGCTAGTCAAAGAGGCCTGGTTGGCCCAACACCCTTGAACAGGGCAGAGTTGTTTCTGACTCGGCTGAAAAACAGATTTGGTTGCTATGTAATATGCAAGCAGCCCTTGTTTTCCATGAAGGAAATTCAATTTGTAGCAGGTGTCTGTCCACCCGTTAATTTTTCCTCCTCCAGCTATCACTCAAGTACACCTACATTTTATAAATGTGGATCTGTTCTGGCTTTTTTTCGTCATCCAATGCTAGAGAAAGTTAGAAACATTTTAAAAAATGACAAAAAACACCTAAGTAAGGAATGTGGACACCACCACAGAAGCCACACCAAAAGCAGAAAAAGCCCTATTTTCAGTCACAGGGAAAAACTGTAACATTAAACCAAGTACCTAAAAGCTAACCTGATTACAGATTTTCTTAAAGCTAAATAATGTCAAATTCAGCATGAGTCTAGCAGCTGTATAAATACAGAACTGTAGCCCCCAAACAGGGGCAAGGCAGGGTTCTTTCTATTCCAAACCCAAGTGGCCTGGTTCACTTTTCTGAAAGTTCTCCAGAGAAATTGCTAAGTACATCAAAGCCTGGCATGAAGCACTCTGCAGGCTGATTTCCCATGGCGCACATGCCCCCAGAGTTGCCCTTGGTTCCTGCCCTAGCCAAATGAGCTACTGGCCTGTGCTGACTGATGCAACAGCGAGTGCTGATGACCTCAGAAAGGGATGAATTCCAACACAAACCAGCGCATCACTTCAGATGCCCATCAACCCTCCCCTCAATGCGCAAAAGCTCACTAAGATGAGAAGATCTCACTTTTCTCACCAGGCGTCAAAGAGCTGACAGCTAGAAATGAGTCAACAAGGCTTGGCATGTGTCAGTGGGCCTTAAGAGAATCAAGAGTATTGGACGATAACAGTAACATTTTTGAAAAATCTGATACTATTATCTCTTAAATGCTGGGATAGAGAGGAACTAGTCTCCTTCCTAGATAACCCACATTCTCTTTCCCAGTGTATATATACGCCCACCACCTGATCCATACCCTTCCCTTGTTCAAAAGTCCTTTGTCATGACAGGGTGTCTTTTTGGTTTTGTTTGGTTTTTCTCCTCTTCAGTCCCAAAGCTGGAAGAAGAGGGTAAGGAAGGCCCTCTTGTGAGAAAGCTTGAAAAAGCGTTTAAAGCAAACCTAGAAAAAGGTTGCCCGGAGGCCGAATGGGCCTGGCCTTTAGTTGCCATAGCAACAATGTGGCTCTTTCTATTGTACCTATAAGCTAAGCCCCATCAAGGGCTGGCAGTGAATTTCCTGGTTCAGAATGGAGTCTCTTAGGTAATCAATGATTCCATCTTCCGTCAACAGAACATAATAATTTTATAAATATTTAATATGTACTTCTTGCTCATGATGGAATGGGAAAGTTTCTCCATTTAGCGATCACAGGCTACTGAAGAGCTTCTTGACCGTGGACATCTCTTGGAATGGGGGAGGGAGGGCAGGAACCAACTGAAATCGTGCCTTAGCTCTCTGTGTACTGCTTGAATTATCTATCACGTGCAGACATTCCTTTTATAATCCCAATCCCCAGCCCCAATTTAAATGGCAAAACAAATACCACTCTTAGGACTGCCCTTTCTAAAGGTAACTGGCAATCTGTGTCAGGAAAATTTAAAAATGCTTACACCTTCTGATCTTCTCAGAAATGGAGTAACTATCCAGAAGGAATACAGACTTGGGGGTCAGACTACCTGGTTCAAATTCTCTACCAATTTTTTTCAGTGAGTTATATTGGGAAAATTATATTAACCACCTTGTGCCTTCTAAGGGAGAAAGATGATGCTCGCCCCTCCCCTATATTGTTAATCCTGGAAACCCACAGAGGCAGTTCTACCCTGTCCTACAGGGTCGAGATGAGTCAGAAGGTGACTCGGTGGCAGTAAGTTTTGTGAGTTTGGGTTTGGTGCCTTCAAGGGTTGGTAGGAGAGTGACGATCAGAGCAGTGTCCAGCAATACAGTGAACATGCCACAAAGGTTGAGATGGGCCAA